CCTGCTTTTACTACCTATATGTATGTATGAATACAGGTCTATATTTGAAATGCCCTATTTTTTTATATAGTGCAAATCAACCATAGACAGTGCCTATTATCTATATATAATATAGATACTGAAACACATGTACATATGACATCCTGTGCATGCAATTGTGGAATTCTATATCTCCGTACACATTTTAGATCGGTAACGTTGCAAATGGGAATGCTGACTATTTCTAACATCCTTTATATAAAAAAAAAATAATCAAATCTGTGCGTGAATGGGTTTTAATCCCTCCAGTCTGTGGCAAAATTGAGCGCAGATTGCACCATGTGACCTGACCCTTAGGACTAGAATTGACACATAAGGATGATTATTCTGGGGGGCAGATCAAATAAATAAATAAAGCCCCGGCAGCTGCTCCGCTCATGCACTGAAGTCCGGTTCCTTTCAGCCTTGTGAGCACATCGGTGGCTCATGTGCCTATCCTGGCACGCCAGCTTTTATGTCAGTTCATTGACGGATAATGTTGCATCTCTGGATTTCCATTTTTATGAGGCTGGCTTTGCTTTCATTGATACCAGTTTGTGCCAATGTGTACTTAATATGAAGTTTTGGTCAGGCTCATTTATTCATGTTGGGCTAATTTATTTCCATTTCCTTAGGGACGCTCAACAATGGCAGAATAACTGCAACATATGCTAATCACTCATAGTGGTGTATTTCTTTATCAGTCTCTGGGCTACAAGGCTTAACTTGATAAATATATATTAACGTGGGGACACAGAATTGCTCTAATTGATTGATGTCATAAAATAAATACAGTGTTTGTTTGCATGAAGCTTTCCTTTCATTTTATTCAGTCATGTCCTTTGGCTGGATAGGTGGTGCTTGTCTGTTTCTGCTTTCAAATGAAGATAGTACTTCTTAGTTTTGTGCTTTGTGAGTGTGAGCATTTAAACTCCTTCGTGACCGTAGTACGACTTAATAAGTCCAAATGGAAAATGGAGAACACTGAGGGCTTGTTCACACCATCTGCATTCGGGCTGTTTTTCCAGCGCAGCCCAAACTCAAGTCAGTTTGCCTTGTCATCGATGGTGACAGTTCGCACCACTGTGTTCCAGTGGTGTGTGCTTAAAAAAAGTATGACATGTAGTCCTTTTTTTAAGCGCACCGCAGTGAGCCATGGTACAGCTACAACGCAAGGTGGTGAGCCCATAGAACTGAATGAAATGTAACTTGTGACATTTCAATAAAGTTCTTAAAAAAGAAAAGAAGTGTGATGCGGTTTGATTGAGCACATTGGCACTGTCCAGGCAGCTGTGTGATTGAACGCGGCTACTGTTGTGAACAAGCCCACAAGAGGTACTTCACCAGGCTAGGGTTAAATTAGAAGTCAGCAGCTACAAGTACTGAGCCACTGACTTAAGAAACATACTTAGCAGTCCATGAAGTCCGAAACTGTGTTTCATGCAGTCAATCCTTCTCAGAGCTTCTGTTCCGCCATCTTGGATTCTGAAGGTGGATGTGACTTCCTGATTACTCACAGCCGGCCCGCAACTGTACATGCGCCAGATCGTCACTGCAAGGAGACTGGTCCTGTAGCCTCCTATGATAATGTCACACATGCCAGGGGGCTACAGGACCAGTTCCCTTTCAGTGCCGATCTGGCACATGTATAGTAAGAGGCTGGCTGTCGGTAATCAGCAAGTCAAGGCAGCCTCCTGCATCCATAATGAAGGCGGGCAGGAGGACTGTCATCCTCACCCAGGCTAGGAATGAGAAAGTGGGAGAGAGTACACCAAGAAAGGTACTCGCTCTCCTGGCCCAAAAAAGGTAGCCATGTCTAAGAGGCTGGCTTACAGTAAGGTGACAGTAAGGTAAGATGACAGTAAGGCAATTTTTTAGGAAAAGATCCCCTTTTAGTACCCTTGCAGCAGAGAACTAGGAATGTGCAGCTGTGTGTGTTCCTAGTTCTCAGACCTGCTCTAGAACAGAAAAATTAGTCGTGAAGTTATTGTCAAGTTAACTGACACATACCAACGCTGCTAAACTTGGTCTTGGCACCCAAGCTGTCATAAAATCAGGTCCTGAAAGGCTTTTACAAGAGAACTATAGTCAAACTTTTTCTTTTTCTTGACCCAAAGTCAGCATATAGTGGCTACTGACCACTATTTGCTGACAGTGCAGAACCTTGCTGCCAGTAAAGGTCCTGACAATATTGTTAGGATCCACCCAACTGTCTGATTGACAGCTGGCTCTGCCTCTCTAGAGCTAAAGCCAGCTGTGCCCCCCCCCCCCCCCCGTCTGTCCCTCTAATAAGCACTGAAGGAACAGAGAGAGGAGGGGGAAATCCCAGCGAGGAGAAGCCATGAGCTGAGCAATCAGAGCTTCTTGATTGCTCAGTTCTCCAGCTACAGAGCCGGTGTCTGACAGCTGCAGTGTACATAAATGGGATACTAGAACTCCAGAATTGATGAAGAATATGTCTTTTATTGACGTATGTGCATTTTGTCACATAACTGTGACGTTTCGGGGTCACTCAGGATCCCCTTCATCAGGCAAAACCATGTGACAGCTGCAGTGTCACATGCCAGCTCAAACTATTGGGAAAAGTAAATTTTACTCTCTCAGTAGTTCTCCTTTAAATAAAGCTGGGCATAAACTATAACAGATACTAACAGATTCTCCCATCCACACTAAACAGTGTGGATGGGGGATCTATTGTATTCTGACTATTTTATTCTGACTATTGTATTCTGACAGCGGCCGGTGTGCCACTGACAGAATACCCAAACAGTGACTGCAGCTGATTGGATGCAGTCAGTATTCGGCCGAGAACTTTCAGACCAGCTCCTTCTATAAAAGTCAATTGAAAAATCGACTTTTGGCAAACAGAGAGTCCTAAAAGGGCCCCACACTTCTTAAATTTCGTCTGACTCAGCAGTACTTGGCTGGCATTTGCTAGTATATGGCCAGCTTTAATCTGCACTAGAGCTGTAGGGACAAATTACCTATTGCCAATGTAATAATAGTGTTTTAATGTATGAATTATGCTGGCCTACTGTGAGCTTTAGTTCTCCTTTACATTAGAAGGTGAATGATAAGAGATAGTAATGTTTGATTACTATTTAGCATAACGTTGGCCTTCATAACATTTGCTTAGGAGTGGCATCCAGCTGTTTCAGTATGATGGACGTGTCCCATTTTCTTTTGTGATGCAATAGGTTTTGTGAAGAGAAAGGTTACCAGGTTAGTGTGTTCTTATTATTAACAATTGGCTTTAATGAGGTCACTTGAACACACTGTAAAAAATGTCTTATTAGCAGGATCAATCTATCCCATATCCTGCTGTGGAGAGATGAAGCTTCTGGTACTGGAAAGATTGGCACCTCTTTCAGGATGAAGGTAGCCTCGGCATGAATGAACCTCTTAGTCAGAGGTTATAAAATCTACAAATCTATTTACATTTCTTATCACTGTATGAGAGGACAAGCAATGTTCATTTACATAGTAAAAGAAAAATAAATAAATCAATGGTTATCTTACCTGTGTTTAACAAGAACACTGAACACCTGTAATGAGCTTGTCAGGAGTTGTGAATCGCAGAATCAAAGCACTGACTTCATTTGTGCTGTTTCAAATGCTAGAAAGCACATCCAATACATCCGTGTCGCCTTTGCAGCTGATTGAGTCCTTCATCTTCCCTGTGCCTTGCAGTTAACCCTCTCAGCTCTAGAAAAGTCAAATGTTTTGCCCAGCACGATATCACACTGGTAGTCTAGCTATTTTCAGGTATTAGAAATGTCAGTTTGAGTACTGGTATAATTCAGTTTAACCATTTTATTTATATTATATAAACAGTGAAAACCAAATGTTTAGGGTAAGTATAAAGTATTCAGGGACACATTTAAATTAGTATTAATTAGGGATGCACCGTTACCGCTTTTTCGGTATCAAGTGCGAGGACTGATATTTATCCTTTTGGTACTCACCGATACCAAGTACCGATATCGGTAATTCCACTAGCATGAAGTCGGCTTCCCGGGTAATCAGGAAGCCAGGTGGCGTGTATTTACCAGCCGCCCGGCTTGTTGATTGCCCGGGAAGCTGGCTACATGCTGTTTGGCCAGTTCGATGGTGATTGGCTGGGAAGCCGGCTTTCCAGTCAGTCAGCATGGAGCCGGCTTCTCGGCCAATCAGGAAACCTCTAAATTTATATCAATTTGTGCACCCCTGCCTTAAAGAACGGTATGTTTTGACTTCACATTTTAAATGCTTGTTCTACCATATTTCCATTATTATTTGATATTAACATATTTTTA